AGAAAAACGGTAATCATCCGTTATTTACGGGTATTTCTCATAAAAATTAGCAACAAAGGGCTTTTTTTTAAAGGCAAAACAATGAATCTGCTGTTTTCTGTCTATATTTCCTGTAATAACAGCTGACTACTGACGGCTGATTTACTGTCGGCTGGGATTTAAGAGCTCCCTGATAAGAATAATCAAACATCTGGGCAGAGATCTGGATCCAAACTCCTCTTAAATTTGGTCAGATCTGAAACACTTTGTAAAATGGATTAATCTAACCATGCAACAGAGAAGCAACACCTGAAAAAGCAAGTCATCCTGAGACTGAGATCTCCCTAAAACCACAAAAAAACTCATTTTTCTGCTTCACTCCACAGAAAGTAAACAGTTATAAACGTCACATAATCATCCATGTTCACTTAACGAGGCTTGTTTGTCTAATTTTGTTAACAAATGCTTTAAAAGTTGAGTTATCACAGCGGGAAAAAGGCTAAAACTGAGCTGGTATTTGGTAGTTTTGTTGTAGAAACAGAAATGTAGATTACTGTTCGCTTGGATTTAAGAGCTCCCTGATAAGAATAATCAAACATCTGGGCTGAGATCTGGATCCAAACTCCTCTTAGATTTGGTCAGATCTGAAACACTTTGTAAAATGGATTAATCTAACCATGCAACAGAGAAAAAGCAAGTCATCCTGAGACAGAAAGCCCCCTAAAACCACAAAAATCTCATTTTTCTGCTTCACTACACAGCTAGTAAACAGTTATAAACGTCCCATAATCATCCAGGTTCACTTAAGGAGGATTGTTTGTGGCCTGGGGGTCTAATTTAGTTAACAAATGCTTTAAAAGTTGAGTTATCAGAGCGGAAAAAAGCCTAAAACTGAGCTGGTATTTGGTTGTTTTGATGTAGAAACAGATATGTAGATAAAAAAAAAAAAAAGCCTAGTTATTTGGGTCCAGTCCCGGTCTGGATCCCGGATTTGTGACTGTCCTGATTAAATAAATAAATAAATAAATAAATAAATAAATAAATAAAAATAAAAATAAAAAGTTGAGTTATCAGAGTGGAAAAAAGGCTAAAACTGAGCTGGTTTTTGTCTGTTTTGATGTAGAAACAGAAATGTAGATTTAAAAAAATTAAAATAAAAAAAAGCCTAATTCTTTGGGTCTGGATCCCAGATTTGTGACTGTCCTGATTAAATATATAAATAAATAAATAAATAAAAATAAAAAGTTGAGTTATCAGAGCGGAAAAAAGCCTAAAACTGAGCTGGTACTTGTTTGTTTTGATGTAGAAACAGATATGTAGATAAATAAATAAATAAAAATAAAAAGTTGAGTTGTCAGAGCGGAAAAAGGCTAAAACTGAGCTGGTATTTGGTTGTTTTGATGTAGAAATGTAGATTTAAAATAAAAAAAAGCCTAGTTATTTGGGTCCAGTCCCGGTCTGGATCCCGGGTTTGTGATTGTCCTGATTAAATAAATAAATATTTAAATAAATAAATAAAAAAATAAAAATAAAAAGTTGAGAAATGCTTTAAAAGTTAAATTATTAGAGCGGAAAAAAGCCTAAAACAGAGCTGGTATTTAGTTGTTTTGATGTAGAAACAGATATGTAGATTTACAATAATAAAAAGCCTAATTCTTTGGGTCTGGATCCCGGATTTGTGGCCCGTTCTGGGATCCGGGATGGGCTCCATCACCCTCCCCGGGCTCCGGTTCTCCTCCCCGGGCTCCGGTTCTCCTCCCCGGGCTCCGGCCCTCCTCCCCGGGCCCCGACCCTCCTCCCCGGCCCCCGCTCACCAGGTCCGGGTCCAGGTGGGTGAGGCTGTGCAGGACCACCGGGCCCCGGTCCTCCAGCTCCAGCCTCACGGCGTCCCGGAGGCCCCGCGCCCGCCAGGAGGACTCGAACATCCGGGTCCTCGGGTCGGTCCGCATCCCGCAGAGAACCGGGCGATCACCGGGACCTCAGCGGGACCTTACCCGCATTTGGAGGCCTCTTTTCCGGCCTTTGCTCCCACGGGTCCCCGCTGAACTCCGGTCCTTTCCGGTCCGGTCCGCAGTGGACCGCGGAGACCGGGACCGGCGTGACTCACGGAGGGGGCTTTTCCAGACCACGCCCACTGAACCGTGGTGCGTTCAGGGACGCCCGGAAATAAGACGACCCGCAACAAAAATGCCAAAACGTGAAGCAGAACCTCCAGATATGGATTTAAGTGGTTCCAGGAGCGACTTCTTTACACCGGTTATAAATAAATAAAGGTAAAATACAAGGGAACCTATTAAAATATAATAAAATATCAAAATGAACTACAGCAGAACCTCCAGATACGAGTTTAACTGGATCCAGGAGCGACTTATTTAACAAAACGCCAAGAAACAAAACGCTAACTGGTTCCAGGAGCGACTTATTTACACCGGTTATAAATAAATAAAGTTAAAATACAAGGGGACTTATTAAGATATAATAAAATATCAAAATGAACTACAGCAGAACCTCTACATTAGAGTCTAACTGGTTCCGCGGGCGACTTATTTACACCGGTTATTTACAATGCAACAAAATAAATAAAGGTAAAATACAAGGGAAATTATTAAGATATAATAAAATATCAAAATGAAATACAGCAGAACCTCTAGAGAGTTTAACTGGTACCAGGAGAGACTTCTGTGTTAAATATTGGTGTGTTGGTTCAAATCTTCCATCAGAATACTCTGTAATTCCTAGAATTGGTTCCAAAAACCTACGATAACTCCTTAATAAATACTGCAGATAATCACACATAGCAAGAAAACAAATGACTCCTAGAAGAGAGATGGAAAAAGAAATAAATGATAAAGAAATAATCAGTAAAAAGGGTTTTTATTGGCCCTTTAGCTCAGAGACTGAGATACAGGACGTACCCTAACTTATTCTACTTTCATTACCTGAACTTGATTTAATTTGTATATTTTTATATACATATATTTTATTTTTCTGTGACTTTAACGTCATATATGTATTTTAGAAAATTTACTTTGGGTGTTGAGTCGAATATTTAATAAAATTTAACTTTGTATGTTGGAACATTTGTATGTTTAGGCATCAGATTATTTAACTAACCGGTAATGTGAGATCATCTTTCCTGGTAATCGTTTGTTTTATGCCACTGTATTTGATTTACCTGGAATAATACAAATCTATATCCTTATTCATTTACATTTCAGTCTAAAAATACATTTGACTTTCAGATATAAATATCAATGACCTTATTCATCACCTGCTCTTTGCTTTTTGGTGGTTTCGGGTGCTTATTTATTTATTTCTATTTCATTATACTGGCTAGAAATGTATAGCTCTTAACATAAAAAAACCTTTACGTCCAGCTTTAATAATAAATGAATATATTCTACACTGTTGTTGACAAAAAATCTTCTGTTACTTGATTATTTAATCACAGGAGATAAAGTAAAATAGACTTTTGTTTTCCTTAAGTTTCTCATCAACAGTAACGTAAATGAGTAAAATAAAAATAAAATAAAAATAAAAATAATATATATATAAAATATATATATATATATATAAAATAAAACAAATGAAAAAAAATAAAAAAAAATAAAAAATATATATATATATACATAATAATACACCAGGGGCGTTTACGAAGCCTTGTGTTGGTGTATGTTGTTTAGTTTAGATTTCTCCGAGGCGTCCCTGAACGCAGCGTTAACTCCCCCGCGGTGACGTCATGCCTCTGGGAAATGATGGTGTGTTTTTGCTCTCACTATGGCAGCAGATCAGCTAAACAAAAGCCCTGAGCTCCAGTCTCACAAAAACACACAAAAACACACACAAACTCACTCAGATTCAGGCCGGAATCACTCACAGCTCCCGTTTTAGACCTAAAACCCCAAAATTTAACTAATTTAACCCCAAACCGAGCTCCAGAGGGACCTCAGCCGCTTAAGAAAAGGTCTAAGTTACAACTTTAGTTTTTTGTGGAGCTAAAATAAAACAAAAGGCAGCATTTTAGAGTTATATAAGCGTTAATTAGTGTGAAGAATGTTGTAAAATGCCATTTACAGACCAGTTTAGGCCTTTTTTAGCTTCATCATCTGTGTTATAATCATTAAAATACACATTAAAATATAGTTCATTCATATTTTTCTTATTTTAAACGACTAAACATTTTAAAACAAATACGCAAATGAAATATTTATCATATTTTGTTAATTTTAACCATTTACAATGTCAGTTTTTAGAGCAAAAAACCTAAAATAATTGCCGTAAATTGCATTTTTAGACGCACTTTTTTTGTTATCTCAATAATGGCCGTGAGAAGGTCAATGACTGACAGTTTTCAGCAAATATTTAGGGATGGATTCTTCATCCCCAGCTATTTTAAACCCCGACACCGCCCCCTAGTGGTGGCTGTGGGGAGCACAGGCCTGATCAGATAAAGCTGCAAAAGAACTAACAAAGAGTTTCCTCTCAATAGTTTCGCTCATAAAAAAATGCTGCTGGAGTGGAGTGAGTTTTTTGGAGAACATCTGCTGGGAAACAGCAGCTGAGGCCAAATCCGACCAAAAACCGTTCCCACCACGGAGATAACTCTCAAATCTGCAGCTGCCGGGGCCCAAAACAACAAAAACAAGCTCTCCACGGGACATTTTCAGCTAGTTTATGAAGCTAAATCACTCAGAAACGTCACAAAAAAGGGCCCTCCGTGGTTAGAGGACCATTTCAGAATAAAAGAACAGAGTTTGTGAGACACTTTAAGCTGTTTCAAGGCAAAAAAGTCCAAAATAAATTTTAAAAAGGGCAGTAGGGTTCAATACTAAAGTCTTAAAACTTAAAAACAAGGTTTCCACTCGATCCTGGAGCCATACGAACAAAGTTTGGCTGTAAACAATGTTTGTCTAAGTTTCCACTCCCTGTCTAATCAGCTTCAAGACTCAAACTGGATATTTACAATCTTAGTGGAATAAAACTACCAAAACACAAGAAAATGCAAGATTAATGTTACTAATAAGAACTGGAACAACTGTTAAATGGTTCATTTTAAAGCTAAAATAAAGACACGGTCATTTGGGCGTAAAGTGTCCTGAAAATTAGAGAAATCACTCAGAAATAAACTCAGAAATCAGCAAGAACAAGTAACAGCAAAAACCAATTAATAACCTAAAAAAATACATCATTTTTTTACTCATTTAGCATCCAGATAAAGGTCCAACTCTG